CCGCTATAGTTATTAAGATATTCTAGATTAATATTAAGATAGAGTGTTAGTAGGTAGGTAGGACTTATTTCGCCTAGAGGGAGGTCCCTATACCTTAAGGCCTTTATATAGTCTAGAGTATAGTTTAGTATATTTATTCCTTAACTCCCTAAGCCTAATAAATTATCGTTTTATCGTTTACTAGTTAGCCTCGTTATTATTAGTCCTAGGGTAGCGATTAACGCAACGTTAATTATAAGGTTATTAACTAGGTTAATATTAACTAACTTAACCTAACTTAACGGAGCTAATTCTTACTAATTAACTAACTTAATATTATTACGATATTAAGTTAGTTACGTTAATAAAGGTTAATTAGGTATCGCCGCGATATTCGGAAATTTTAGTACTAGGTAGCCTAGCCTAAACTATGCCTAGGGGTTAGTATATATTAAGGAGTACTTCTATATATACCTAGGAATATTATAAATCTATATACTATATATAATATATTAACTAGTTATAGGCTCAATACGTTAACGCGTCCGATATAATTCGCTTATATCCTATTATTTTAGTACTAGCGTTAGCCTAGCCTCCCTTTACTACTCGCTTCTCTAGACCCTTACTTCTTCCGCTTAATACGTTTAAAAAGTTTAGATTTCGAGGCTATAGATTTCGTACTACCTCCCCCTTTCTTACCGGCTCCCTTAACGCTAGCTCTATCTATACCTAAGCCGTCTACGCTAGCCGAGGCCCGCGCCGCTTAACGAGATAAAGATCGATTATTCCGATATTTCTATGGTTATATATAGGCCTAGCGAAGCTAAAGTATAAAATTATAGGTATAGGAATATAGCTTTAATATCGAGAAGGGCTCGGATCGGCGATAGGTTTATAAAGTTTATATCGAACGGAATAAGCTAAAGCCTAGTACTATAATTTCGATTAGTACCTAAAACGCTAAGTAGTATCTCTAGGACTATTATAAGATCTAAGATCCCTCTAGAAAACGTTCTACGCTAGCGCCTTAAAAGAAACTATCTATAGGATACTAAACGATAACGGATGCCTTTAACCTCGATTTAAATACGCCCTAAGAGTAAGCTATTGTAAATTACCTTATTAAGAGCTTTAATAGGAATGTCTTCTAACGTTTAGTAGTCGAATAGATCGTTAAGAGCAATATATCGTTCCGAGAACCCGAAAATATAGGGCTACGGGCTATTTTCGAGTGCCTTAACCTATTTATTACGAGCGCGGATGCCTATATTAGCTATAATATAGTTCGTAAGCGCGCCGTTACTAAATTTAAAAAGTATAAGGGGAAGGTTATCGAGGTATTAAGGAGTTTACCTAGGTTAATATATATCTCGTTCGATAGTTAGGGATCGTAGAATAAGCACGCTCTATATAGCGTTATATACTTCTTTTAAAATATAGATAGTAAGTCCTATAAGCTTATTCTTAGAGTGCTTAAGCTAATATTTTAATACTTAGGGGCTAATATTAAATATAAGATTATCGAAATACTCGAGTTATATAAGATCCTAGATAAGAAAATAGGGTACTTTACGCTTAATAATATACCGAATAATAATACTATAATAGATACTATTAAGAAGAGATTTAGGTTCTCTAGAAAGGAACGACGGGGCCGTTACTTTAGCTATATAATTAACCTTATAGTTAAAGCTATTCTCTTTAAAAAGGATATCGATATATTTAAGTCCTAGCTACGATATAGAGACGTTTTAGCTACGACCGAGCATAAGCTTTAGCGGAAGAGAGGCCCGGTTAGTAAGCTCTATAACCTTATAGTTACGATCTACCGATCTAATATACTTACTATACTTCTCTATAATATCTAGCGGCTAGAGTTCGATATATCTAGGGATCTAAGCGTAAGAATTCGGAAGCCCCTTAAGGTGGTTATCGATAATAAAACGCGCTAGCTATCGTAGCTATATATAATCTAGCGGGCCTTAAGGCTTCGACCTTATCTCGAGACGCTAGTCTTAAAGTATAAGTAAGAATAGGAAAAGGATAATACGTTAAAGCGGTCGAAGAGGCTTAAGGTAAGCGTAGTTATACCTACTATATATTAAGATAAGAATAAACTAAATAATAAAGACTAGTCCGTTCTAAAAGCGTTTAAGGATATCTTATAAAGCTTTAAGGATATAGTTAAAGCGCTTAAAGGCGACGGGATTTAATAGAAGCATAAGTAGGGATATTTCGAGTCCTATAGTAACGTATAGGACGTAATTATAGGATATAAATTCTTACTAGCGGAATTAGAAAAGGCTAAAGCTAGGATCGATAAGTATCTTAACCCTAAGTATTTTAGAGCTAATATTAATCTTAGCTAAAAGAAGCTTAACGAATACTATAATAAGCTAAATAAGACTCCGATATATTATATAGTACTAGTACTATACCTTACTTATCGATAGGGTTATTTTAAGACGGTATAGTCTAAACGGCCGACATAGGTTTCTAAGGTAAAAGACATAGTATAGTCCGTTTAGGACAGAGAATATAAAATATTAAATATCTCTATAAAGGATTATAACGAACTAGCCGTAAAGCGTTAATAGACGTAGTACTATTCTCCGTTTAAACGATATAAGGATAAAGCTTAGACACGTCCTTATAAAGAAAACGATGCTAATAAAGTAGAGGACGAGTATACTAGGTAGTAGAAGGACCTATTGCCTATAGATAGCGATATTCGTAATCCGCGTAAGTATTAGTATATATAGCGGTTTAAGTACCCTAGGCTTTCGCGAATAGCTATAGACTTTATAACGGTTTAGGCGATAAGCGTAGAGTGCGAAAGGCTATTCTCGGCGGCAGGTCGTATAGTAACGCCTCTTCGGAGTCGGCTAGAGGCAAGCACGATTGCTATTTACTAGGTACTACGGTTATAGTTATAAGCGGGTATTATAGAGGAAGTCAATCTAATACTATTAAATAAGGCGGATAAAGCAGTAACTAGGGAGCTAGTCGAGGAGAAGGTAGTTAGAGGATAGCTTCGGGGTTTGCTAATATAGATACGGGAGGAAGAAGCAAGGTAGGAATAAAGTTACGTTAGGTCGTTTAACTCTAAGGTAGCGATTATAGCACTAAGACGGGGTATAGGGAGCTAGTTAACTATTAACGTAACGCTAACTAACTTAATATAGGGCTAAGGTTAATTAACTTAATAGAGGAAAAGCTTATTAATCGGTTAACTTACTTAACTAAGGGCTAAGGTTAAGTTGGTTGCGTTGATCGTTACCCTGATTGGTCCTATAATAGGCCTGCTTAAAGGCCGAATTCTCTAAGTATTTAGCATCCTATTTATAGCAGCTAAAGCGCGGTCTGCTAGTTCCGAAGCTAAGATATATTAGTAAATTAGTGTAGTTGCTTATTAGAGCTTAGTTATCTTCTAATAGTTCCGGCTTTCTATCGAGTCGTTCCGTCTTAATCGCGAATTTAATTGCCGCATAAACCGCCTATATATCTAGCTTCTACTTATCGCTATCCGATATAGCTTTTCCTCCTAAGAAGAAAGACAAATTCCTAATCTTAGCTCTCGCGCATTCGAATAGGACACCCCGTTACGCAATCTACTTTATATATCGAAAGAGAAAGTAATTAACTATTTCTGCTGCCTAGCCATAATTATATAAATCCGAGTCTATAGCTCCTATTATATATAGGTACCCGTTTAGTCGTAATATGCCGGTGCGAAGCTAGACGAGAACGTCGGCTTCCTTCCTTATCAGAGAATCGTAAAGTATACGGGTGTGCTTCCCTAGCAATGCTTTATCGATGCGTTTTAAGTGCTTTCCTATATTTTCCGGAAGCTATTCACACTATGCTCGAGCGAGTGCTAGACGGAGCGTAGTAGATCTTGCTCGGTACGACGGCTTTTCTGCCACCACTTAAGTATTAATTCGTATTCGAAATACGTCGTAGAGGTAGCAGCACGTCTACCTATATAGACCCTCTACCTTATATCCCCTTCGATCCTTATCCGCTCCTTTACGGGGTATAGCCGGTTCGTAAGTCAATACTAGTTTACTCCTTAAGCCTCCTTTAACGGCTAACTTAGAGATTCTATCCTCGATAGCTACCCGTAAGATTCTATCCTCTTAGTAGACCGACACGCGCGTCCGTCCTCTCGAGCTATATAGAAAGTATCGTAACTATGGCCCGCCTACCTAGTCTTCCGTCGCTTCTATTATATACTGCGCCCCGTAGATTATTAGATCTATTTCGCGCTGCCTTATAAGATCTCTCTAGTAAGGTCGACCGTGTCTCGCAGAAGTTCGTCTATTTATATCCTCTCTATACCCGGAATAGCTAAGCGACGTAGTATCGTCCCTCCTACTAACTAAGGTGCCTCGTCGTTCTCTATACGGTTATAAGTGCGCCGGTACTTATCGATCGTTTCGCTATAACTATCCTATTTCTTATCGTTTACCTAGCGCGGCCTTATTTCTATTCTAATAGAGTAGCCCGAAGCACCCTAAGGGTGTCCTATTCTATAACCCGTTTGTCTATCGTGTATAGGCTCGATTTCGCGGTCGTAGGTTAGATAGTTTTTAAAGTATTCCCTTATAGCTTATGGCCGGTGCCTAGGGCTAACGAGCCCTATATATAGCCGTAGCCTAAACTAGCGGACAAGTGCTGGCTGGTGGTGACTCTTCTTAGCTCTGAGAATGCCCCCAGGCAAAAGGCATTCCCAGGTTCCTAGCCAGCACCGCGTGGAGGTGAGAGTCGTCGCTGGCCGCAGAGTGTCGGTGTAAGTCCGGCGGGTCACGGGATCCGGCAGATCACCGGTAAATCCCTTACTTGAAATAGATTGCGTGGTCAACTTACTTGACTTACTTGATATACGTGACTTGATACCGGTACTTGAATTGGGGTCAGCGCTGGTGACGATCCGTTTTTTACCCTGGAGATTGTTGTCGACGGCAACACACGCTGGAACTCAATCTACATGACGATTAAACTCGGTGAGTTCTGTCATGCATGAGCGCTCCCATTTGCCGACAACCGGGCGGCTTGCATCAGCACTCGAGCTGCGACGCGCCATTGAACTCTTTCAATCTCGCTGGCAGAAACCCCCAACGGACCCAGATCACCGCGACCTGACGAGAGACTTCCTTAACGCCGCGGACTGGATTGAGCTAGAACGCTTTCACGAGTTCTTGAAGCCATTTTACATCTTGACGAGGACTATGGAGGGCAACGCCGGCAAGCTGGGTGAGGAAGGCGGCCATGGTGCCGTGTGGGAGACCCTCAAGACTATGGACTACTTGTTTATGAAGTTTAAGCAGGCGGCAGAGATGACTCGACTCGAAGAGGCGTCTCATTTCAAGTCGGGGAATTGATTGCGGTTGGGCAAAGCTTGAGAAATATTACGCCAAAACTGATAGAAGACCCGTTTACCGAGCTGCTCTCGCACTGCACCCGTCCTATGGTTATGACTATTTCGAGAGACACAGGAAGAAGGCGATGAACAAGCCAGACTGGTATTGCGACATGCGGTTAGCTGTTGGTAACCTATTCGATGAATACCGACGTCAGGTTGAGGCTGAAGCCCAGGCTGGGTTTCTGGATGATGACTCTGAAAAAGCCGATACTGACAACGAGTACAGCTCGTTTGGCAAAAGATCGATGAGCTCATTAAGCTCGCAGCGAAAGAAGGTCAAGGCAGTAAGTGAGCTCGACTTATTCCAGACCCGGCCAATTTACACCGAAGACATTGACGTTGCAGACCCTCTTGAATGGTGGAATCAGCATCGACTGGAATATCCGGTCTTGTATCGAATGGCGCTGGATCTGTTCTCTATTCCAGGCATGAGTGCTGAGTGTGAGAGAGTATTTAGCCAGACAAAGATGATAACAGATGAGCGCAATGGGCTGTTGCCTGGGATAGTGGAGGCTGACCAGCTTCAAAATCACTGGTTGATGAGAGGCCTAGTAGCGTAGAACTGTCTATGATCCTACAAAGTGCTATTTTTTCCTGCTGGGTTGAAAAGGTAACGGGTACGCCTTGCACCACAGCCCTGGAGAGTAAAGTGCAAGGTGTGGCGCAGTATTTCATAACTAATGTGGTCTAACTTAAGGCCTTTTATGTCGCCTTAGACACCTGAGGTCTTGGGCTGCTCCTCGGAAGATTCGTCCGGAATGGGAGGCTTTTCCGCCCCACTAGCCTTATTGGGAGCATTGTCGTTGAGGTTATTCTTAGGGCCCGTGGTTCCGTCAGTGTCCCCCACGATGGACTTGATCTCATTGTTGATATCATCGTACATTTTTTTAATCTCTTTATCTGGGCTGTCTTCGATTTTTTTCTCAAATGCTTCAATCATCTGCGGGATCTTGCCTGGGCCCCCGATTTCGGGAGCTCCATCAGCAGTAGTATTCTGTCGCCTGGCCAGATGTATGTCGGCGCCGAAGGTGCCTTGAGTGTTTATTGTGGTGGCGAAGGCAGTTGCGGCAACTAAATTTTACATTTCGTTAGTGGAGATGAGAAAGGGCGGGAGAGTATATAGTCTATATTCGTGACGTACAAGCCAGGGTGACGGCAGCGATACGGACCATTTTAGGTTTTCGTAATGGAAAAAGTAGTTATAACGATGTATCAGATCTATAATAAAAAAAGGAAATACGCAACTTCACTTAGTCACTAGGCTTTTAACTTGTTGCTTGATGGAGTGATAAGTTAGATGCTTGCTTGTCGAAGTGTCTTGCTCAACTTGGAATATGGCCTCAATTTATATTTAAAAATGCCGTCTAAGACAATAAAGTGCCAAGTAGCTGAGTCATCTGACGCTCTGTAGTTAGTTTCAAGCAATCTGGGTACCTAAACATTCGCTTTAAAGTTCATGACTACCCGTTGGCTGAAGCTAGGCGGGGCGCCTAGTCAGTCAACTTAGTGCTTCGTAGGCGCCCCGCCTAGCTTCAGCCAACGGGTAGTTCTAGTTAGTTGGCGGATTCCCTAGTAGTCGGTGGGGTGGACCACCTCCATGACGAGACGATAAGCCATCACTCTCTCCTGTGCTTCTAGGACGACCCGTGTAAGGGACGCCTGCGCACTTTCTTCATTATTGTATACAGTAAAGAACTTTTGACTCGAACCCCCAGTTAAACATAGCCACGCTCCGTATAGATGTGACTATGTATATAACTAGCTTAAAGTCGCCATTTTGCGTGATGACATGGCCCGGCGTTCCTGGTCGTTCCAACTTGTTCCCTCCGCACCGCATCGTTATCTTGCCCCTCCGCGCGGGGTCTAGGTAGTCCCACACCCCAACGGGTGCTTGTAGCTGCTTCTAGAACTTCAACACGGTCCCTGTCAGCCTGATCGTCACTTATCATGCGTGGGTTCCATCAGGCGAAGCCAGGAATGGAAGCCTATGGGCCAGCATCGTAGGACAGCTCAGACTTGAGCTGCTGAATGCCTGTTTAGTGATTCATGCGAAAGGGACCCGCCGTAGGTAAATCTCGACTCTGTCGACGCCATAATGTTAAAGGTATGCACGGCCCCCGAACTAGCTGCGTTTGACTCGACCACCTGGGCTGTATGGCTGGCGAAGAGAGCATGACAGTTTAGGAAGCTACAGGGAGTTATAAGGCGTTATTGAGCTGCTATAGTGTAATTACAGGGCACATGCGACGCCTTGGGCCCTTTCCTTATGACGAAGTACAGGACGACTAAATGGACCCGATGCGGACGACCTCGCCCGATGGTCGAAAGCTGCCTGCGCAACGCATTAGCCACGCAACCAACACCTCAACAACGCCGCAAACTCTCAACGTCGCCGAGTCCAACCCCTACGATATCCACCAACCACGATAGGCGACAAGATGCTCAACGTTTAACCTTAAAGACATATGCGCAGACAGGATGGAAGAATAACCTTACGGGTCCAAATAGGCATTTCCCTTACTGCGAACCACGCATTATGAAACAGCCACTTGCGCACCGCCTGCCGGAGCGCGTTTCCACTTTTACAGGGTGCCATGGCTGAGTGGAACAGGATTCCATTTATGTAATTATTTAATTGATCGACCCTACTCGTACATTCGGTTCCCAGCTGAAATTCCCCACCTCTTATGTGGCTGAGTTCGTATGCTGAATACGAGTAAGTTATGCGGATATGTCGCACCTACTCGTGCATTTTTGAAATGAAATGTCCTAAATCAGGGCCTTACCCGTTGGTCAAAGGCAGGCGCGGCTGACCAACTTAACTGCCGTTAAGTTGGCCCAAAAAATCCGGGACAGCACAAAACCCCCGGGACAATCTTAGAATAGTGGAAATTACTAATACAACCGTTAAGAATTAAGTACCTCAGATTTTAGCCTATTTTCAGAGAAGTACTAACTTGACACTTTTTCTAGTAAATTACTAGGCCCCAGGATTGTCCCGGGGGTTTTTGTGCTGTCCCGGATTTTTTGGGCCAACTAAGTGGCGAAGACACTTAGTTGGGCTGCTGTGGCCCCACACCTAGACCAACGGGTAGATATGCATGCTGTATGGGTTCCTCGCGATGTACGAGTACTGACGGGGCTTTTCTGATTTCATTGGAGTGGCCATTCACATGTCTACAGTCTAATCTATAAAAACGAAGCCTCGTCCTGCCGTAAACTTGCTGTTCCCACCAACAACGTGCGAGCCCTGCTACTCATCCACTCCAAATTAACGTCTAAACCAATTGTTTGACAGACAATACGACAATGAAGTTTCTGGGAAATAAGCTATGGTTTCCTCTTTTAATGACCTCAATGGTGGGATGCCAACCACCAGATTCTCCGCCGGAGTTTGTCTGGCGTGGCTCCCCTAAAGACCATATCGCGATAAAGCTTGCCGGAGGCTTTTTACCTATTGCGGATGAGGGGAAAAGGGATTACAGGCTACCCAAGCACCTCAACTCCGGCTCCCAGGACCCCCTCGCACAATCAGGTTTTGTCTCCACATCCTCGAAGCCGGAAGTAGCTCTTCGGTTTTCCCAGGAAAAGATAAAGCCTCAAAACCCCGGTTACCTCTATAAGATCAAGGCTTCGCCAAATATGATCGACGTTAACAGCATCCTTGGTCCAGGACATAAACACTTTGAAGAGTTCGAATTCGCAGCTGTTGATGGCGTGAAATGGGGGCAGGTACACAGTCACAGAAAAGTACCAGCAGAATTTTTCCCTGACAACAGAGCCCTCGACGAAAAAGCAGTTCAATCCTGGTTACAAAAATGGGATACAGAAGCAAACGAAAATCTAGACTACTACAAGTCCAAGCTAAAAGAATTTCGCGCAGGCGGAGCACCGCCGGAGTTCAATACCGAGGATGAAGCGAAAGCAAAAAAAGCGTATGAGAAATTCAAGCGATCAGAGGAAGTTAAAAAATTCAAGGATCTCAAATTATCCAGCGGGCGTAACTCGGTCATTCTTGAGGAGGACGAGGAGCTACTTGGTCATTCTGATGCAGAGGAGCCAGCTAGTAAATGCAAACGTGACGGACCATGCAGTCAGAAGGAAATCGCCAAGCCAGAGCCCCACAAGTCCGCAGCAGAGCCGCCCAAGATCGCCAACAAGGAGCTGGAGAAGGCCATCGAGGAGGCGTCGCAACACGAGTTTGAGAAATCCGCCACGCAGCATAGGGTCAAGTCCGTTGTCGAATCCAAGTTCAACCAGCCGCTTGAGAAGTTCCGCAAAGACGTTCTTAAGTATCGGCCGCTCTCAATCAAGTCGCCTCACCTCGGCGGACTTATCGGCGCAGGGCTCGGCGCAGGGCTTTATGTCAAAGACATTGTTGAGACCTTCCAGGATCACAATGCTCATGGCATAGACCGCCTCGCAGCGCTGACTTCGATCGCGCCTGTAATGGGTTGCATTACCAAACTGGGAAAGGACCTATCCCACGCAAAGATCAACGGACTCGATGTGCTGGATGATGCCTTGTGCGGACTCGGCGACGTCTTGCTCTTTACTCCCGCGGCCCCCCTTGGGCTGGCGGCACACGTCGCCCGCATTTTTATCAGCTTAACTCGAGAAATTGTCAACGTCTTCTCAGGACCGGATGAACAGCTTCTAAAGACCCTCAAGGACAGCCGCGATAAGTACTGGTTGGAATTCTTAGAAGACAGCATATTACTCCCAACTTTCAATTCGAAAGAATTCGCCGACACTGTAGGCCGTGTTCTCGCCATGGAGACCTTGGCCGTTCTCTCCGATGGCGCACAAATGTTAGGCCTTATTGAAGCGACCCGGGATATGCCGAAGAATGGTGCAACAGCGGTACAGAGCTCATCCCAAGAATTAGTCCAAGCTACAATGGAAGATGCCCGGAAAAATGTTACGGTGCAAATCGTTGAAACACATCGCCAGACCCTATTGAAGCTCGTTGAGAAAGTAGGAAATCAGCAAAAAGAGGTCGTACCGTTGCAAAAGACAGCCGACAAGTACAACAAAATGTTCATCCAGAAGTACAGGGAACGCGCGCGAAAACCACCTCCACGAGGGGACGAGTCACTGATGGCCTGGAAGATCGGAAAGGATCTCAAGTTTAGATACAATAAAGCAATCGCGAACCATTTACGTACCGAGGCGCTAGCGCTACCCGACAGCTTCGCCATCGCCTACCTTATCGGAATTTCATTGGGGCAAGACGCCACTCTGCCGACGCTATCGCCACCCGAAAACGAGAGCGCATCCATATCGTCCGACAATACTGCCAACTGGGAGATGCACCCATTAACACTAAACGCAACAGATTACCTTCTGAAGAAGCAAAGTGGCATATCCAAGGAAGACGCCGACACCATTGCCATCCAGCAAACGTATGCTATCATGCTGTACCTCGAGCGCAAAATGCTTGAAAACGAAATAGCGTTAGCGTCGCCAAATCTTAACTCTTCAGTTGCGCAGCAATTTCGACTTTTACTTACTATGAAACTGGGAAGAAAATTCAAGTACATCAAACGATTGGAAGATGGAAAGCTTCATTTCATTCCCCAGGAGGTTAAAAATGACGTGGTTGGTACCGTCAAGTCAGTTCTTGGACTTGAGGGTCAGGATGACAAAATAAGGGAACTTACCAAAACGCAATCCATGATTACTGAGTGTCCTTCATTTATCGATGCACTTCCCAGTCTTTTCGGTGCACTTTCCGGTCCACCCAAATGTCCTGACGGATGGACTAAGGCTGATTCTATTCATCGTCATGTTCCGGGGTGCGTTTTTAACAGCAAGATCAGGTGCTACCGATGCCTCTCGTCCTCATGCGAATCGCCGACTTGACAGCCGCCGCAATGTTCTTGTCAAGATCGGAACGCTCATTCACTGTGCTGCCTAACAGGCAGCAAGCAGTTCGTAATGCCATATTAGTGATGGATTCGAACCTTCTAGGTGACGTCGTTATCTATGCTGCCTGGGTGGCAACATCGCCACTCAGCCCAAAATCACAAGTATAAGAAGCCAACTTTTCACCATCACTTAGATAGAGAATCAAGAGTCTTTCGTTGCCCGATTCACAGGGGATCTCCTTCCCGATCGTTGCTCAGTCATCCATACTGTCCGTGCCTCTTGTTGTGTGACAGTATCGAACCGCCAATAGCCAGAGCGTCTAGGCCCTATGGGAAGTATCCTCTTGGCGAAATAAATCCATACCAGACATCAATGAACAACAACCATGGCACCGATTGTTGAGGCCCTTGATTTTTCCTAAAGTCGGAATTAATTAATGCCTTTTAAGTGACTATCCTAGAGTCCGTGTATCCTGAAACTAGCTTAGCGGATGTTAAGAAAGTAGAAGGAGTAGGTTTATTTAGCAAAGACAAATACTTAAAGGTTTAAAGAACTAGCTACCGCGCGTCTAGAGCGTGGATAGGTCGGAAAATACTTTTACCGAGAAACCACTAAAATAGTATAGTTAAAATAGCAGAAGCTTTAAATTGTTTAACTAAAACTATATAAAGAACGTTAAAAAGTTCTTAAAGGGCTCCGGAGGCACCTAGTGCGCTCCTTAATTGCTAGTAGCTGTGTCGGATGCTTAAGTTTTTCCTGCTTGCCGTCCGTGTCCACTTCCGCTTAACGTTAGCGGGGCAGAATGCGGCGCAGCTTAGAATACGTAAAAGGGGGTAGGTGCCTGAACCCATCCGAAATTCGTCTTCTATCACGATCAGGATATCATCAAGCAGCATACTTTTAACATCGACAATCACTAGTTTTAGCTTATCTTCCGACGTTAAAGATAATTATATTACTCTATCTTAGGATAAGATTATCTAGACGTTCGCTCGTAGCAGATAACTATAGCAATCCCTCTCTAGAGGAGCTAGCTTAGTCGACCTATAACGCGATACTGTTAGGCTATCTAGTTTAAATCATAGACTACTAGCTATACCGGATAATTTGCGGGGCAGAACTAAACTCACTAGACAGGCGACGTGGTAGATAAGGTCTACCAGATATATGGTTCCCTATAAAGCTCGAAATAAGGCGAAACGGCGATAGAAGCCGGCAAGGCTCCGGCCGACACTTTATATGATTTCGGGTTATAGCTCTTTTAATTATTCGGATAGTAAATCTAATAGCATTGCTCTTCTATTCTTCGGTTAGGCATATATTCTCTATATATCTCTATTAGAGAAGTAGCACGTTTCGATGTCCTACGCAAACATACCTTAAGTAGTTCCTTAGGACGAAAGCGACTCGGAGCGATGCCTTACGATTAATATTAGAGCTATACGTAGCGAGGAATATTGCTAGTAGGCTTCCCTCCTCTCGCTAGGCCAGGGATAGCGATCTATCACTCTAGAATAGCTAGTATAGGCCATCGTATATATAGTAAATATTAAGTTTCGGCTAGTAGCACGAATAGCTATAACGAGGTCGCTATAATTCCCCCCGCCTTCGAGTAAGCAAGCTATTGCGTTTCTCTTACGGTTTGCTTCTATATATAACTTAGATAGTTAAGCTCCGCTAGCACTTATAATAGCTTTAATACTTCCGCTCTATAACGAAACCTTATTAATAGTAAAGCTATTAAAGCCGTCCTTTATTAAATATAATACTAGATTAGCCTCTCTATCTAGCTTCGATCGAGAGTATAGTAACTTAGCCTACTATATAACTCTTAGCTTAAACCCCGTCTTCCTATCGTTAGCTCTTTAAGGTATTTTTTAGGAACTAGGAATAGATTGTAATTTAGTTAGCCCTTAGTGCGATCCGATTATCGAGGTTCTTAAACTATTAATCGAATACGATAACTTAGAGAAGCTAGGCTATATATTTGCCTTACGCTAACTAAAGATTGCACCTTTATAGTACGGAATCGCAGCCTATAGGCATACGAAAATAGTTCTTAGTATTATTCCCTTTCTCCGAACTTTGCACTCTCTAGTACCTTTAAGGAGGTTGCCTCTTAGACAGACTCTCCTTAATCGTTTATAGATCTTTAAGGATCGGGACCTTACGTATATAATAATAACTAGGTTGCCCGAATAGACGTATAGCGGTTACGGTATTAGTTTTAGGATACTAAACTAGAAGGTGCTCCTTTTCGAAATCCGCTAACGTGCCCTTAGCCGCTATTTAGTTTTATAGGTATTAAAGAATTAGAAATCCCGGTACGCGCTTATATTAACTATCGGAGATATTACTAGGTCTATACTCGATAGACTTAGCTCTTTAACGATAGGACCGAGATACTAGATAAACCTCCGGAATAGGGATATTAGCTTAGGTTCGAAAATAGAGAATATCTTATCTCGCCTAAAAACATAATTGCAATATCGGGCTATATCTTAGACTATATAGCCTTAGAAAGAGCTATTTACGATATATTTCGGTAGGCTATAACGGAGATAGAGGTTACTAGGAAAAAGATATATATATATCCTTAGGTCGACGCGCTACTAGACTTAGATATAGATAACGATAAGGAGACTAATTCCGGCTCTAGTAGGGGCCTAATTCTATCTAACTACCTCTTACGACGAGTCACGGATTAGGTTATAGGGGTTAACGTATACGGTAAGCTTACTTTATAAACTAGTAAATTATTAAGTATTATTTATAGTTCTATTTACCTATTTACTGCTATGCTAAAGAAGATAATTGCCCTTAATCGTCTACCTATACTATGTTTCTATAGGCATCTATAAAATATACTAACACCCTTACCGGAGGTAGGGAGGATATAATATAGTCCGTTTCGTTAAAGCGATATAATTAGTTATAAGTATATTAGATTAGAGAGAAGGTTTAATAAGGAAAGATAACGGACTACGAGCTAGCGATATAGTACGGCGTAGTAGGCTAATATAGAGTAGGGCTATAGGATATATTCTAACTAGTCCCCGGTAAGTAGGGATATAAGACCTATCTAACTAATAAGAATAGAGGAATTACCTTCGAGTTATCGTCGTAATAGAAGTCCTTTAGACTAAATAAAGTAGTATTATATACGCTTAGGAGAGGCTATAAGGACTTTAAAAGACGAAATATATATATATCTTTATACGGCTAAAGGGGTAAGATAGAAGTATTATAATAACTACCGGGTCTACGTTTCTCTATAGTATTCGGACAACCCTCGGAATAGCTAAAGATTAGTAGTTAACTACTAAACTTTACCTCTTTACTATATATAACCTCTATTTAATATTGCGCCGGGACTATAGTAGTAAAGTTCTAGACGTTATAGTAATCGGTAGACTCGGCAGACTTAGATATAAATATCCTTATATAACGTGCCTGCCTAATAGAAATCCGCCGATCGTTCTCTATAGCTAGGAATATAATCGATAGAATGTCTTCTGCCTCGCCTCGAAGCGCTTTCTACCCCTATATCACCCGTTACGTTAGTATTCGCAGCAAAAGGCACGTATATCTAGGACTCTCGCACCTGTTCCTCTTGCGACATGCTCTAGACTTGCTGAAGAAATCTAGTAGAGAAGGGAATAGCTTGAACGGCTACGACTGATTAGTCGTCGTCGTGGATTTAGGTAATGAGAGAAACGTTCCGTTGGGCCGCCAAACATATATCTCGGTGCCCGAAGTTTTTTCACTATTAACTGGCAACCTCAAACCATAGTAAAAGAGGGGTTTGACCCGAAAATTTACCGCTTATTAATTAGGACTGGCCCAACTAGGCATGCCACCGCCTATCGACTTACGCGTCTTTAAAGTGGGTCTAAATGTGCCTCATTTTGCTGATTTCCTCAACACTATTTCCATCCATTTTGGCCATCGAAGGCCACATTGCTAACGTAGCGGCTGCGGCCCTACTAATAACAAGTTCGATGGCGCCTTAGAGGACCTCGCGGTTCACCTTTCAGGCAAAGAGGGCGGTGTGGTTGATCGACTACCGCCCGTCAGTGTGAAGGAACATCATGCATGTCTCACTTATGAAAATTATACAACTAGCCAAAGTGAGAGCCTTCCTTACGAAGCTCTTTCTTTCCCCTTTCTCTCCTTGTAGACAATCACTTTGTCCAAGCCGCACTCGACCTCGTTCGTGCCTTATACCGTCACATATTGTCTACCGATACCACAATACGGCATATCACCGTCCTCGACGTGAATATCGCCAACACCTCACCAGCCGTCCTCAATCCTACCCCAAAAAACTCTTTCCAGCAAAAATTCCACCCGCTTGCAACCAACCAGAGCGACCAAAGCAACGCAAAGAATTGAACTAAACGTAACGAAGCGAACCAAACGAAGCGAACCAAACGATTCCAACGACGCCTCACGAAGTTAACCCTACCGAAGCCATGGGTAGCGCCGTCGATCGGGTACCACCCTGCCCACTGCTGAACGCCAGCAACACTGAGGAGACTTTCCGTAGCACATTCGCAGCCAAGCCCTCCGATCTGATGAAAGAAGTCTTCCTCGTGTGCAATGC